AGTTTTTGCACAGTATATAAGTTACAACATTACAAGTAAACATTCATTTTTATAAATTTGGATTGTAAAATGAAAGTATCTTTTATTTCTGTAATCAATAGCAAACCTGTTTATTTTATTATAATTATTATTTATTTATGCGTAATGCTCATTACAAGAAATAAGCATACCCATAATAACTAATAAATATACAAATTATAAGCAAAAGATTATACAGCAACCTATAATATGGGTTGAAAAACAAAGCTGTAAACACTCAAGAAATAATTGTGCGAAATTTAGGGCCAATAATTGGTTCAGTAGTTTTCGAGTCTACAAATCCCGTTCAGAAGTGCATATTCTTTGATATATACATGTATATATTTCAATTCAATTTTAGTGCACTCATAAACTTGTTGAATTCCGCGAGGGCGGCGACTGCAGCCGTGCGATAATAATGATATTGTAATAACGCTGAGTATATGCACAGTATTATCGGCCATACGAAAAATGAAACGTTTTGAAACAAATTACGACCAATCACTATAATATAAACCGTCAAAGGACCGGCGACAGAGTGTTTCATTAAGCAAATTAACTCGGTGGGCTCGATTACGCGGAGTCAGCGGGGAGGAGTCGTAAAAAAAGCGTTCGAGCCGAAATCGGTTCCGAACTTTTAACGCCGCCGAGGAAACTTCCACGCAAGAACGTTTATTATTCCGTCCGACAATACAAGTTTTATCGGCATGCCCATTAAACGGTTATTTCTCTGTCGCTAAATTGAGTTCTCGAATAAACAGTTTGACTTTAGCAGAGGATTCGAGCAGTTAATACCGATTATCGACGGCAGCGGCGTCGTCGGAGCAGCATAAATATATAAAGTACCTATATATTAATATATATGTATACTTATGTACACATTATATACATAAAAGAACAATATAATATAATGAAAAAGTATTTTTCGGAGCGTCGTAATTCCGTTCGAAAGTATAATTACGAATAACGCCGGCGGTGCGCGTAGTATTATAAGTTTATTTCAGGGCGTTGACGAAAACGCGAGGAAAAAAAACCTCCCCGATACTCGAATTTATAACTATTGCAACACGATTCCGTGTCGCGCGATAACGTCGTACACACACACACACACACACACACACACACACACACACACACACACACACACACACGTGTGAAAACCTAAACAATATTATTCACGCGCGTTATACAATGCTACGGCGGCGAGCGCGTCAAAAACCTGGAGGGTAAAATGTTTATCGGCGGCGGCGGGGGGGTTTGGACGCGAGAGGCGGTATTAATTTATGACCTCCAATATATAAACGGCCATATAGCCCATAACCGTTCGCGCACAGATATATATACACGCAAATGCCATCAGCGTTTAAGGGGGGCCCACGCGGTGTTTTAATGCGTTCGTAGTCGGACCGCGTCGATATTCCGCGGCGTTTCCGTATAGTCGGTGCAGCGGCGGCGGCGGCGCCACCATTAATTTGGTATATACGCGAGTTAGAAACTACCCCATTTAATATGTTTATATACATACCGCGAGAGTACAACAGAATCTAACGACTGTATATAGTAGTGGCTCGTCGACGGCAGCCGGGTGGGTGGCTGGTGGGGGTGAAAAAAAAAATCATATAAATATGAAAGCTACATGTGTCCGACTACACCGGAAAGCTTTTTGTACGATGCGCCCGTAAAAGATCCGAAGAGGTGGACACGGCGGTGGCGAGAGGGGTGAAAATTGAAAAATTGAAAAATTACGTTGTAAACCGGCGAAACGGCGGGTCGTTGTTTGTACAGCACGCTCAGGTATAGGTATAATATATATTATATTTTTTGCCATAAAAGTTACATATAACAGTGATAGAGACAGCGATAGGGGTGGGTGGGGTGAATGAGAGAGAGAGAGAGAGAGAGAGAGAGAGAGAGCAAAGGGGTATGCGTCAAAATACAATTATGAAATTACCTCAGCTACGTGGGTTGCTCTGTGTTATAAAAATTATATTTAACAATAATATAATACACGACGTTACAGCACATAGCGGAGAACGGTCCATCCGAATATTATTAAATTATATACGTTAAGGTTTACTGTTTTAACCCTAACAAAATAATATGTATATTTATGTTGTGTATTTTTTTTCGATTTACTTACAATCATAATAATAATAAAAAAAAAATGTAAAAGTAAAAATATTAAATGCGTGAAGGGTCAACAATTAATTGTCTACGAATTCAGCTTCAAACTTATTACTTTTTATGCATGCACAAAAAAATAGACACGCATTAAAACCTAGTTGCTCTTTTTCCTTAGAGTCTGCTCCGTAATATTTACACGATATAATAAATAAATAAATATATAGATTTTAATTTAAATTTATCAAATTTGATACTAGTCACATGCAAATGCTATTTTAATGATCAAAACGATACTTTATACACAGGATGATTCACCGATCATGCTCACCTCTATTTTTACATTCAATAATGCATTTTCAATTTATTCGAATTCTGATTTTTTAAATTTTCAAATACACGTAAACCCCATATTCAAAAAAATATCGGAATTGTTTTTACTAATTTAAAACCTTAACATACATTTTTAAATGTATTATTTTTTGTAAGTACCTAATTCAAAATTCGAATTGGTAGTTTTTCAGTATTTAAAATGTTTATACTAAGCATATTGTGATATGTAACATTGGATTAATGGTGTTTATTATAATTGTACCATTTTTCCAAAATATTTAAAGGTGTATAGATTAATATTTATTAGATACCTACTAAATATAACAAGTCTGATAATAGCATAGCATATCTTTTAAACATGTACCTATATAATATCCTTGGTAAACAATGATAAATAATTCAAAAATTAATTGTTTGAATTTTTATTTTGAAACGCAAATATTTTCAATAAAATCATTCACTTAATAATTTACAGTAGAAAATGAGGATCTCATTTGAAAAACAAAAGTTTGAATTCTCATTGGAAATTCTTACAGTACTACAAAAAATCTAGTCTCTAAGTATATTTAATAACTCCAAAAATCAGATTTTGAATACCTATCAAACTGAACTATTGAAGAAAAAATAGGATTGAGTGTAATTTGTGAATCACCCTGTATAATGTTAATGTACATAGTACTATAACTATATGGTAAAATAAAATACCTATGGTTAACGGATTAGCCAATATTTGAAAATAAAAACCTAAATAACGCGGTGAGGTAAATTTCAGTAGGTATCATGTGTGATTTTTTGCAACAGCATAATACATAATAAATATTTTTTATACTATAGGTTCATACCTAGTTCATATTTTATATTATGCTTAACATTTCAGTATACCGCAGGCAAATAAGTAGAACAAAAAAGGGTTTTTTTCCCCATTATATTCTTGAAATGCGACCATTTTATTAGTATATAATATATATATATTACTGAGTATTAAGTGCGTATGACTTTTTCGGCATAATCTTTTTGTATACTATATATTATAATTATCATAGGTACTTATATATAGGTAGAGGCACAAGTGAAAATGATTATATTATTATACTATCTTCTGCTACACAAACGTTTAGTAGGAGAAGGAGATGTATACATATTATATAGTATAATAATGGCAGAAATCGATAACATATAAAAGCTTATCATGAAAATAAGTACGCCGTATTATTATATTATAGTCTTAAGCCGAAAATTGTAAAGTTTTTGTACTTATATATACATTATATTCAAGCGAAATGATAAATTTTCTTTTTACTTTATAGGTTTAATCGTATAAAAATAGGTAGTAAACAACAGAACAAAAAAATGGGTTGTGCGGATTTTATTGTAACATTAAAAAAAAATTCTTTCAACAATGGGGAATCGAATATTGTTATTTTCTGACAACAAAGTTACCACATGACATTGTACAGATAATATAATGCAGCAATCAATTTACACCCCTACCCTATTATGAGTATAAGACATATTATAATCACAACACGTCATTGGCTTAATGTGCAAATGACGCAATCAGTGTTTAAAATCATAGTACGTTAGTTATAAACACAAACATAATAATTAATCAATAACTGAATACTATTATCGGTAATGGCTATAATGAATAATGATAATATTATACAAGTCTTAGGTAACAGGCTGTAAGCGTATAACGAGAGTTGGAACCGAATAAACCAATACACTTTTGGTTGCCTATTCCACGGGCTATAAGATATATTATATAAGACTGTCGTAGTTCGTGGTCTATACCCGAATAACATTGGTCACCTTGAATCATTATCAATAGGCCCTAGGGCCGACCGTAATGAGTAGGTGGGTATAAGACGTATAATATAATCTCACGTTTATTGGTTTACCTAACTTGAATGGCGTCAAATAATCAACAAACAGTGTTTAAAAAAATAATGCGTCCGGTATAAAGTATAAACACAAACGCAATAATTAATAATAATACTGTACTGTACTATTATATCGATAATGAGTAACGACTAATGAATAATGGTAATAATAAATAATAATATATAAGTCGTAAGCCCGTAGGTAACACTCTAAACTGCAACTACGTTTAACGAGAGATGGGACCAAATAGTAATAACCAATAAACTTTTAGCCGCCTATTCACGAATAGTAATATTGGTCATCATGAAGCATTATCCCCTCCCCAGTGTAAAATAAAGCACCCAGTTATCTATAATATATACATAATACATATATTTCATGATGTTTTTTCGTCAGAATTCTACGAAAATTACTTTAAATGCGTAAAATATGATGTCATCAATGTTTACTCGACGAACGAACTTAGAAGACTGCGGCATTTAAATTGAACATAAAACTTAATAATAAAATATAATGTGCGCGCGCAATAGTTACGAAACGTGTACACGTCATAATATACTTATAACATCATGTTGTCACCATGCTGCAGTTCTTATCGAAAAGCACGAAACCTATTATATATTCCCGCGAACGATTATTAATATTTATTTTTTTTTAGCTGCAAGTGCGGTCGTTGCCAGTCATAAAAGCGCGTGGGAGACGCATAATTTTTAGATATATTTTTTCAGAGAGAATACAATGTAGTGTCGTGATAAAGCGTTGTACACATCACACGCTTGATAAGGTCGAGTGTCGGATAGGTACACCGATAAAACCGAGTAAATTGAATATTAACTCTCAGAGCGCGGAAAAACAAGTCCTGCAGGATATTACTCGCGAGCGGAATAAAAATAAACGTCGCCACACGTATATATACGTTCTGCAAATCTCCCGTAAGTATATTATACATTTCGCATCAAACTATATATTATATTATTGTAGTCATTGAATTTGGTTTTCATTATAAATAATGTGTTATACGCTCGCATTTCGACGGAAAATCATTTGGACGCGTCATAACGTTTGTAAATAATTATTTTCGTCACGTCCCGTGAAAACTCAAAAATATTGCGTTGGGGCGTTCTCTCATCAATGAGAGGAAGTCATGTTTTGCGCCGCGGTCCGTGGTTTTTCCTCGAGAAAATTAAATTTAAGAATATTCATTACAAAACCACCCCTTTTTGGTCGTCCCGCGGTCTGCGGTACGCGGGGATGGGTTTGTTTTTTTGTCGGCAAATAATCTAATTTTAAAAACCGTCACGAAGTCATAAAATCAAACGAAGACAGACATTCTTGGGTCGCTTTTGAAAAACTGCAAAGCAACATAGCAACATCAGACGTGGTTCGCGGACGTTTTTTGTTTTCGTTTGACTGTATACCTACCGCATGAGTAACACGAATCGGCACAGTTGAGTGCTTAAACACATATACATTTGTTGATTCACGCGTATATATATATATATATGTGTTATAATAATATGTCAGTTTCGAATTGTATGCGAAACGCTCTTGAAAAACATTCCTTTTCGAAATTAATTAATTACTTTTTTCTCCGCTGTCCCGCAATTTCGACGGATAATAAAGATTTAACAGCCAGTATGCCGGCGGGCTTAAAAACTTAACAGTCTTTGGAGCGCAATTAATTTTCTTAATTTAACTAAAATTAATCCACAGATAAAGGGAGGTCCGAAAATATATATTATAAAATAATATATACACTGTGCGGAAGGATATAATATATAAAAGGAGCTGCCGTCAATTCCGGCCGTTTTCATTCGCTGTCGACGAGATTTATAATCGACCGTCGTGGTAAATTGTGCCCTTAATAAATATTATTATACACCTTAATGTGCCGATATATTTTTATTGTTGAAAATAAATATACCAACCCCAAGACTTAATGAACGTTATGGACGACAAGGATGATTTACTTTGAGATGATTTTTTTCATTTGTTTATTACGCTCCGTGGAGTTTAATAAGATGTTCCTCTGCATTCTCTTTATATTATATTGCATAAAGTTTAAGAAGTGAAAAATGAATGCTATTTTTACGACCTCGTTTTCATATAATACCTATCAGAAGGACGAGGGAAAACAGCATGAATTGTGACTTTTGGTGGAATATATTGAAATGAAAGTGACGCTCTTGGTGACCGCATACCGTGGTCCGACTGATGACTAACTATATAATATTATTATAAAATAACTTAATTACCTATATTCCTAAAACATCATTCGATATTTTGAGTAATTAAACGTTATTGTTAAATATAATGGAACAACTAATTTCACCTACACAGCTGTAGTTTATAATTAATGATTTTATTAACAAATGGTAGTATTTATACATATTATATGTTTTGTTATTGTAATAAATTAACCCGAGTCCTATACTATAGAATTAGGTAGCATCGGTAACGAATAGTATGTGTCTGTAATCACCTAATTTTAATTATAAACTTTGTGTAAGTGTGTGTCACATACTCACATATAGGTATTGTGTTGAAGTTCAACTATACAATATATTCGGATGGGTATAGGTACCAATATTATATGTAGTGTCATGCATTATCTAGATTAAAAATAATTGTATCTACAGATAAATTATCTTTATAAAAACATTTTTTTTCTTATCTAGATAAAATTAGTAAAAAAAATTCTTTTTACTTATCTATTTGAATAAAATGGTATTCAAATCGATTGATTTTTCACATTATTCGTATATAAAAAATATTATAATACCAAAATCAACATAATAATGAAAAATATCAACATTGATTTTAGAAATACCAAATACATACACGTATTCTGATGAAATAACTATTATTGCAGTGTTGTATGAAATGAATTTTTTTTAAAACCAAACAAATAAAAGTGTAATCTACAACGATAAAATGTGCAACTTCGTATCATTACATATTATGTAGGTACACCTAATATAATTGTATGTATACACAAGATCGTATCGTTGCATCATATATATATATATATATATAGATTCCTGGCCATAGAAAATGTTAAAGCGTTCATAAAAAAACTGTTTAAAAAAATTAGAGCAAAGTATAAAGACCGATATTCATTAAAACGACGCTCATAAAACAATACCTGGGAGACTGTTTTGAATAAAATATCAAGTGTCCTGCAGAGCGCAAAAAAAACTTTTTTTAGCTAAACGACGCCCTTGGGGTCAGACCACTTTTCCTCTATCTGCCCGCCGGTCCATATCAACCACCGCCAGCTAATATCCGAAACACCCTCACCTCGCCGTCGACTGTCGTTTCCAGCACAAAGTAATTGGGACCAGAGACAAAAGATAGCAAGCACAGGACGACTAAAAGAAAACTATAGGTACATTATAATGTTATCTCGCTTTCTGTTCTATAAATACATATATTGTTATGCTCTGTTTCTCGTAATAATCTCGGGGTGAACTGCTAGGTATACATGAGTAATTTACAAACTATTTGGTTGCACGCTGTATATCGTTTCCGGACATCAATTCGACCGACGTCAAGAATTTGTGTAACATATACAAGTAACGAAAATATAATAACAACAACAACAATAATATATAGAATAAAAAAATGTAAAAGCGTCGTTGCAGCGTTATATGAACGACGCACAGGGACACGAGGATCAATTTAAACTTTTTAGGAATGTAAAGGGAACCAGCTATTATGTAACGGTAGTACAATAATTTATGATGTTTTTTTCATTACTATTTATTCCGAATTATAAATATTATGTTCAAAGAGACTATCCGTTTTTACAGATTTCATTACTTTTTAATAACAGCGTATTAACATCAACCGAAAAACTAATAACTTATTTTTTTCCTCGACATCGCATCGGTGAAGTATTCATGACGGGAGGACCAAAGAAAAGAAATCTCCGTGCCCAGGGCGGCAGTCGTTTTTTTTCTTCGTATTTTACTCGCACAGTGCACGTTTTACATTTCTGTGTCATCGGGTGATTTTTCGTTACTCGTGAATAGAAAAAACAAATTAACTATAGATAATTTATAACATGAAGCTATTTCATATACTATTTGCTGCAGTATACACCTTTATTGTATATATTTTAAGCCTTTCCACAAGTTAATAGTGATCACATTATTGTAGTATACATATTAATATCCGTGAGTGTGTTGTGTAGTTTATAATGTAATATTTAACGATGATTGGTTATGACTTCTGACGATTTTATACATTTTAGTAGTCATGGCATATTTTTTAATGTCAATGTAATAATAAAAATACACAAATTATTAGTTTGAGATATTATCAAATGTAATTTATTATTCATTAGGTACCAAATTAATCAATAATTTATGTGTGATAAAAATTGTTACAAATCATGTAAGCAACATAATACTGAAAAGCAGTTTTAAACCGTTTAATGTATTAATTTTTTGATGTAAACCAATTTTACTTTGAATATAAAAATTTGTTCAGAGAAAAATATACCAAGTTTATAGTATACTATCAATGTAGGTAGTATAAAAATGAATAATGATAATTCAAATAATAAATTCAGCCATATTGTAGCGATATTTGACTGTTATTAGTATATATTGATGGCTTTCGAAAAGTTATAAAGTTTAGAACAATTCATAAAACTTAGTATATAAAGTTAAAGAATAGATTGGCTATCGGAAATGCTTGATACTGCTGCGATAGTTTTAAAGTTTTATAGAGAAAGTATTTAAAGAAAACTCGGAAGTACCTAAGTAGTCCGATATCCGGCCAAATAATTTTTTATTCTCTTTTATTCATGGGCTACATTTATATATTTGGTCTCTGGAGAGGATAAAAACACACTAGTTAATAAAAGTAAAACAACATTAAGCTTTTACAGTTTTACGCACAAAAAACTCAACTATAGCCTGAGGTATTTCTTTTAATGGACTATGGAGTTTAGTGCATAAAAAATTATGACTACAAGATAAAATTTCTAATATACAAATTTATTTAACAAAAAGTTTATTGGCCAGTCGCGCACAATAAATGGCCTGCAGTCTTATTTTGCAGAATGTGCCCGAGAAATAAAAGTTAAGTCTCTGCAATACACAAAACGGTTTTGGAATAATTTCGGTAACTTGTGCGAAGAAAAGATGATATCGCGTGCACTATGATATATGTATTATATACAACAGTAAGTAGGTATACATTGGGTGCATATATATATATATATATATATATACTTTTTGCAACAGACGCCGTTGCGTGCGATATGGATATAATATGATACCTACAACAATAATTACAATTTAAACGCGTGATGGACGAGACCAGCAGCATAAGAGAGAGGGTTGGAACGCAGGACGACAGGAGGGGCGAGAAATTCAATTATTATTTCCTGTGAAATAAAATAAGTAAACCTCGGGATGATAATAAAAGACGAGAAAAAAACCTGCGGATAGGTATTACAATAATATATATAATATAATATATTATTATTGTATATATTTCGTCAGAGAACGAATGTTTACGGAAACACATAAAGTAGGCTGAGAAACGAGATAATACGATTGTGTCAAGAATCGGAGTGGTGTGCGAGGGTGTGAGGGGGAGAGGGGGTTGACTTGCTCGCGCGGGGTTGCAGTTGCGGGTTGTGGCCGATTTGCATATAAACAAGATGGAAACGTAACGAAATAATAAATATACACGGCCGCCTGTCGGCTGTGCATTTAAAAACGGTGGCTGGCAATCCGAAAGAGCAGATAAATAGCTTTGGTGTGAATGAAACACCTCTCTGTTCACAAAGGGGGCGACGAGGAATTTGAATGGATAAAAAATAATAATAATAATAATAATAATAATAATAATAAATAAATAAAACGTCTCTATACACGATAATGGACTGCGCGCACACTGCAGAACATCTACATTG